CTGGAACGTTTTAAGAAAGCCCATAGCCCCCTTAACAAGAATGTCTGTTTTGAAATATTACGTACGTACAGTTAGTATCATTGTGCAAAATTTTACATTTTTTACACATTTACGGCCTGGCCACGGGGATCGGCGGCGAAGCGGGAGGCGAGGCAACCATTCACGCGGCGCCGTTTGCAGGCCAAGCACAAGTGACGTTCGCCGCAGCGACCAGTAACAGCCTGGCCACAGGACATTCGCCGATGCCAATATTCGCGCGGTGCAAACGGCGAAGCGTCTAGCGACTGAAATAAACTCATAGCAATGTATTTATTTTTATTTATTTATTAACACTTCGTTGCATATACATTAATATAGTACAATTGACATAATTAAATAAAAAGGAGAGCAACTGGAGGCCTTATCGCTTTCGACCGATCTCTTCCAGGCAACCACTGTGAGGAAAAAAAAAGTATTAAATTACATAAGATAGGCAAGAAGTGCAAAAATACATGTATTACATTTTGTTGCTTAGAAAATGAAACTAAACAGGAACAAAAAACAAACTAAACTAATAAAGAATACATGAAAAAATAATAATAACAATAAAAAGTGCACATGAATCATTATAATTTAATTTCAAAATTTAATTTAAGATCAGTCTCACGACAGTTGGTAGGTACCTATTATTAAAGTTAGGGATACGATGTGGACAGGTAATGTTTGTACAGAAGAAATTTAAAGGAAGATAGAGAAGGAGCTAAGCGAATAGGGACGGGAAGTGAATTCCATAGCCTCACTGCAGAGACCTTAAAGGATTCGCCAAGAAAGGAGGAGCTATGAGATGGGATTTCAAGGATATAGTTTTCGGAAGAGCGTAAGCTATAGTTATGGGATCCCAAAAAATTTGAAATCATGTTTGAGATAGGAAGGAGTTTTAGGGTTGAACAGGATGGAATATAAGAGATGGAGAACATGAGCATCACGTCGCTGACGAATGGGTAACCAGCCTAGCCACTTACGGAACTCGAGAGATATGGTCGTACTTTCTTAGACCGAATATAAATCGAATACAGAAATTTTGGAGACGATCCAGTTTATTTAGCAACTCTTTGTTTAGATCGGAAGAGCAAGAATCGGCGTAGTCCAGTAATGGCAGGAGGAGACATTTAGCCAGTGAGGTACTAATAAGCAACGGCGACTGGCGAAATGTACCGAGCGAATCGCGCGGGCGACTGGCGTTGCTGCGGGCGAGCGAAACAAAGGCATTAATCAGTCGCGTGTTGCGGCGGCGAACGTGACTGGTGCGTGGCCTACAAACGGCGCCGCGTGAATGGTCGCCTCCCGCTTCGCCGTTCGCACCGCCGATCCCCGTGGCCAGGCCGTAAGGAAGTTCGACAGCGAAATGTCTTTATCGAAATCATCTCGATATTGCTTGGAAAGTAATAGCTTTTGGTTCAAGACCTTATATTTGGAAGAGATTGTTGAGTACATGATTTAAATAAGAATCGAGGTATAGATCGAGAATTCCACTAGAAGTAAGAGAAATACAGAATATATCCTGAATTTTTTTTGAACATACCAGAATGAGTATTATATTCTTATGAATATTTAACTAGAATTGGAGTAAAAAGTTAATGAAAATAGAGTTTTAAGTGCCGCTGAAAAATTGTTTTTGACATTAAGGTATATTAAATTTATGCTGTGTGGCCAGACTTCCAAATAGCTGGTATTGCCAGTATTTCAGTAATAAAAAACTCTGTATTCATTTTTGCCGCGAAATCCCTGCTTACACTTACTTTGCTGCTTAAACTTATTCAATCCCCGCTTTATTCGCCGCGACTGCCGCTCGACACATGCCTTTGTTTCGCTCGCCCGCCGCGACGCCTGTCGCCCGCGCGGTACATTTCACCGGTCGCATCGCCGGTCGCCGTTGCGCGTGGCTTGATTAGTACATTGCTATGAGTTTATTTCAGTCGCTAGACGCTTCGCCGTTCGCACCGCGCGAATATTCGCATCGGCGAATGTTCCGTGGCCAGGCTGTTAAGTAGCATATTAAATTAATGTTCATTTAAATTAAACGTACCAAAAAAATGTAAGTATATGTGCACAATTTTATTATTTTTGGGTATAATTCAAGTTGTAGCGTTAAATTATCAATATCATGTCATAATACGAGGGCGGCACTGAAAATTTCGGGAATTAAGGTAGTGACACAACATTACTATTTAAAAATGTATTTATTGCTTTTCGAAGTATTCTCCGCGAAATTTGACACATTTTTCATATGATGGAACCAATCAAAATGGCCGTTTTACAAAATACAGCTTCTTCAGGTGATGAAAATGTCTGACCACGCAATTTATTATTTATTTTAGGGAAAGTATAGAAATCATTAGGGCTTAGGTCGGGGCTATACGGCGTATGGTCTAATAATTCTATGTTTTCTTGATCTAAAAACTCTTTTGTTCTGTGCGCGGTGTGAGAACTCGCAGTGTCGTGATGGAGGATGATGCGGCGGTTGCAGTTCTCTATACGGACTTCAGAAACGACCTGAGGCAAACAAATGCTAGCATACCATTCTGCATTAACCGCTCTTTGTCCCTCAAGAGGAATAGTCGCAACAAGGCCGGTTTTGGAGACAAACGTGGCCACCATTTTTTTTGCAACACTCCGAGAACGAACAATTTTCGTTGGCTTTAACTCATTTTCGAACACCCAAACTCGTGACTGGTTTTTTGTTTCGGGTTCGTACGCGTATATCCAGGATTCGTCACCTGATACGATGTTGTATACAGCTTTTGAGGATCCTGCGTGGAATCTATCGAGAGTTCTGACGCACCATGTAACGCGAGCCGCTTTTTGCTCTTCACAGAGCGAATGCGGTATCCATCGGGAAAACAACTTTTTGTCACCTAATTGTTAATGCAAGATTATTTGTATTTGACTCATGCCAATGTCTAAAGTTGCCTGAATTTCGCGGTATGTCACATGTCGATCTTCCTCAATCAGCTTACGGGTTGGGTGTTGAATACCACCGCACTTTTTTGACGATACTAATTATCTAGGAGTGTCGGGGGACCTTCATTGGAACACCTCCAAGTGAGTTTTGCTACAGGAAACGCGTCTAAGTATTTAAAAAAAAATTTAAAGTTTTGTGCAATGTATTGAAATTTGTAAACAATCCGCCATTTTCTACTTTTCTATTGGTTATAAGAGATGTGACGTTCACTTTAAAAAATCGTTTTTTAATTTATCGATTGTTACTAATCGTTTTATTTATTTATCGATTATTTCCTCATTTTTGAAATTTAAAGTTATAGAATAATCAACATTGAAATTAACCTAATTTCGTGTTGATAGATTATAGGGATCCGAAAATTTTTGAAATTATCGATACCTACTCGTCTGTATTTCCTAATTAGTACTTGTATTTCATTGTTTGCAACTTTCTATATTATTTAATTTTTACTAGAATAAAGTGTTTACTTTAATATCCAAAAAGTACCCAAAACCGAATCAGAGCACCCCACTATCTACGTGGTCTTGTCTGTCTTACCCCTAGAGTGTATATAAATAATCGGAGGCGCGGAGGATATATAATGCCTGTGCTTTGGTACGTAAGGGTGGAGGGGCTGCATTTCCCGTAGCGCCGGAGCTGTCCAAAAAAACAAATATTATTTAGATCGGTTAGGTTAGGTTAGTATATGAATATTTGGTCGCCGAAGGCGACCAAGAAGCCGGGTTGGGGGGCTTGAATAAACAATTATTATTTAGATCGGTTAGGTTAGGTTAGTATATGAATATTTGGTCGCCGAAGGCGACCAAGAAGCCGGGTTGGGGGGGCTTGAATAAACAATTATTATTTAGATCGGAGCTGTTCAAAAAAACAAATATTATTTAGATCGGTTAGGTTAGGTTAGTATATGAATATTTATTTTTAAAATAACTGTTCAACTGAAACTGATCAACTATGATTGATTTTCAATTATTTTTAATATTAAAATCGAATACAAAAATCGATTTTCACTTTTAAAGAAATCAATTATTTTTCACATCCCTATTAATTTTATAAACGTTACTTAAAAAACGATTATTAACAATCGATTAATTAAAAAACGATTTTTTAAAGTGAATGTCACATCTCTTATAACCTATAGAAACGTAGAAAATGGCGGATTGTTTACAAATTTCAATACATTTCACAAAACTTTAAATTTTTATTAAAAATACTTAGACGCGTTTCCTGGAACAAAAATCACTTGGAGGTGTTCCAATGAAGGTCCCCCGAGACTCCTGCATAGTTAGTATCATCAAATAAATGCGACGACATTCAAAACTGTTACCGCTTGACACGTCTACGTTGAAATTCAGCAAACCAGCAATAAATTGTGGTTTTGGATGGGGCTTCATCACCAAATGCAGAAATCATCCGGTCAACACACTGTTTCTGTGATAAAACTTTTTAAATTACTGTCCCGTGTGGGTAGTGCAAACGTGTACTGGTGTGTCTCGTGATTTTTTTTTCTTAAATTAAATAGTATTTCGGTAAAAACATTATAACTTACAGTTTCAGTGATGAACTAGTGTCCCACCACACATCAATCGCTATTTTTTTCTCAATAATATCCTTTATTTAACTATAATAAACTTAAAGTTGGAAATCACTTCTTCAAGTACCTTCAATTTAACTTGTATTAATTTTTCACTTTCACCTTATTATGGAGGATCTTAAAAAGTCATTAAGGGATGTATCCGATATGGTGTCTACCAGAATGGAAGAGTTTCAGCAGCGCCTTATTGCAACTCAGAATAGGTCCCCCTCACTGGAACAAACTCCGCTTGCTAGGGAATTCGAAGCTTTCAAAAATTCTGTTTTATTCTGCCTAGAGAATCTTCAAGCTCAGATGGCGATTCTATTTAGAGTGCAGGATGAACAGGAGATGCGCAGTAGGCGAAAGTGTCTGTTGCTGCATGGAGTAAATGAAGCAAAGGATGAAAGCCAGGGCTCCATTGCAAATATGATATCCATACTGTTAAAGTGTCCTAATGTGACGGAGCAGTGCCTCTCCCGTTGCCATCGTGTGGGATTAAGATCCAATGACAAGCCTAGGCCTATATTAATAAAGTTTCGTGAGCATGCTGACAAGTTAAGGATCTGGGCTGCCAAAACTAATCTTAAAGGCACCGGAATAACCTTGTCTGAGTTCCTGATCAGGAGGAAAATTCGAGCAGCTAGGTCAAAATTTTACGAGGACAAATGTGTTAGGTTGGAAGAGCTCAACGCCAAACATGACAGCTTTAACTTACACAAAGAGATCAAAGAGATGGCTGGATTGCGGAAAAGGACAAACCGGAATACGTTAGTGGATGATAGTGGTAATGTATTATTAGACGTAGAGAGCAAGAAATCTACTTGGAAACTCTATGTTGAAGACATATTCGCAGATGCAACTAGAAGAATCACAGTAACACCAGGAAATGAAACTGGACCTCCTATATTGAGAGCAGAGGTAGTAAAAGCTCTAAAGAGAGCCAAAACTGGAAAATCTCCAGGTCCAGATCAAATTCATGTGGAGATTCTCCAACTATTAGAGGAACACCTTGTGGATGCGTTAACCAACTTCTTCAACTGTATTTATGCAACGGGGATTATGCCGAAGGATTGGTTAAATTCAACGTTCATCACCCTCCCGAAGAAACCTACGGCTAAGAAATGCACAGAATATCGCACAATAAGTCTGATGAGTCAGGTCTTAAAACTTTTTCTCTCGATTATACATGAGAGGATTAGAGGCAAATGCGATGCACAAATTTCGGAGAGCCAGTTCGGGTTCAGATCTGGAGTAGGAACCAGAGAAGCCTTGTTCTCATTGAATGTGCTTGTTCAAAAATGTCGAGACTTACAGACAGACGTCATTATATGTTTTGTTGATTACGAAAAGGCCTTTGACCGTGTCAAACACGAGGTACTTATGCGTCGTCTGCAAGAAGTCGGAATTGATGGCAGGGATATGAGGATAATACAAAACCTCTACTGGAATCAAACCAGCACGGTGAGAGTGGACGGTGATGAAACCGAACTAATTTCAATCTGTCGTGGAGTCAGGCAAGGGTGCATTCTGTCCCCGCTTCTATTTAATCTGTATTCAGAAGCAATTATCTCTGAAGCACTGGAAGGCAAAGAGTGGGGTATCAAGATCAATGGGCAAATAATTAACAACTTGAGATACGCCGATGATACCACTCTTATAGCAACAACACCTGAAGATCTACAGAGTATAGTTGACCACGTCTATGAGTGCAGCAAAAGAGCGGGGCTATCAATGAACCTCGCCAAAACCAAGTATATGGTGATTAGCAGAAGAGAAGACTTAAACCCAACAATCTCGGTGGCAGGTACTACTTTAGAGAGAGTTAATAAATACAAGTACCTAGGCACATGGCTGACTGAAGCATGGGAGTCTGAAAATGAAGTGAAGACCCGAATAGAAGTTGCCCGTGCTTCCTTCAACAAAATGAGAAAGGTACTTTGCAACAAGGACATCAGTCTGCACCTCCGAAGTAGGATGCTTCAATGTTACATCTGGCCAGTTGTAATGTATGGTTGCGAGGCTTGGACCTTGAAGGAGGCAACCATTAAGAAACTTGACGCCTTTGAAATGTGGTGTTTCCGAAGAATGCTGAGGATAAGCTGGGTCCATAGAGTCACGAACGAAGAAGTTCTAAGGCGCGTCAAACGATCCCGAGAACTCACGTTGAGCATTAAAAAGAAGAAGATAAGTTACTTGGGACATGTGTTTCGACACGAACGCTACCGACTTCTTCAAGTAATCATGATGGGCAAGGTCGAGGGGAAAAGACGCGCTGGCAGAAGGAGGAAGTCGTGGCTCCGCAATATTAGAGAATGGACGGGAGTGGCCAGCGTAGAACAGCTGATGCGCTTGGCGAAAAATAAGAAGGAGTTTGACGAGCTGACCGCCAACCTCCAGTAGTGGAGAGGCACTTCAAGAAGAAGAAGAGTTCCTGACAAAATCAAGGCACTCGCTATTTATGGAGGCAAGAAAGCGGTTTGGCGTCTCGAATTGTTGGACTCGCGATGGACGTGTACAAGTGATAGGGGCTGATCGGAAACTTCGCCGCATCTCTTCGCTGAAGGAACTCGATTCAGTTCCGGACAGCATACCGTCATCGACCGCAGCTGATGATGCAAAGCTGACAAGAGACAAGACCCGTAATAAGAAGGCTCCAAAAAAGGGTCAATAAATTCCGTTTGTACAGTGTTGGTGTTTCGTGTGTTGGGGTTATAATCAACTTTTTCTTGGTTTGTTGTCATGAGTTTCAAGTGTTAAACAGTTATTTTTTTAATTACTTATTTGGTATCTTATAACCTTCTCCTTCGTTTAAAAATTGTTATTATGATGATATTAATTTCTAATTGTTATTTGTTATTAAAGCCCATTGACAGATTATAACTACTAACTATCTAACGTGATGTGACGGCTGACGCTGTCAAAGGTTGTTATTGTCAAGTGTCAATTGAGAATTGATACACATGGTATTTCCACAGAACATAAAATTAGTCTCGTATAATAAGCTTTTACTTTAATCCTTACATATCAGCGGTTGAGTGCGATCGTAAGAACATTTTTTTTATTTCTTATTATTTTTTTTATTTTAAAAGTTTAAGCGCTTATATACTTGGTGTAGATTTTATTTAACTTTTAGATTAGTTTTAGTTTTTATTTTATTTTTTATTATCATACTTTTTTTAATCATGGATTGCAGTAGTGATAACTCTGATTTCTTATCTCTGGAATCGTCCGATTGTGACTCCTTCCATAGCATTGACTCCTCCACGCCTACCCTAAATGATACCTTATCCTCTATTTTTCAAAACTTGCCTAAGCACTTCAATGTTGTACACATTAACGCCCAGAGCGTTCCAGCTCATCACACAGATCTCCTTACGTTGGCCTCTAAAGACATCCATGCCATACTTATTTCTAAAACTTGGTTCAATCCTTCCCTTTCCTCTGGTACTTACTCTCTTCCTGGTTACAATTTAATTAGAAATGACCGACTCGGCACGCGTGGAGGTGGTGTGGCAATTTACTTACGTTCTCACATCCCCTTCTCCATCATTAGCTCATCGCCACAGCCTCCACCTAGCAATGCAGCCGAGAATCTCCTTATCGAAGTTCTTCTATCCAATTCTAAGCTTCTCCTAGGAGTCTTCTATTCCCCCTCATCATCGGTGGACTACTTTGATTCCTTTGAAGACACCATCGACCAATTTTCTCCCTTATATAAAAACACAATAGTCATGGGTGACTTTAACACATGTCTGCTGAAAAATGATTCTCGCTCCAGACGGCTCCTTTCTTTAACTCACTCTTACAACCTACAAAACTTATATCTTAACGCTACGCATAAAGTCCCCGGTTTTACTCCGTCACTTTTGGATCTTATTTTTGTTTCCTCTCCTCACCTTGTCACTAAGCATGTGCAACTTCCTGCTGTCGCCTTCTCTCACCATGACCTTCTCCATCTCTCCTTTAAAGCGAAGCCACCCAAACAGAAGCCCACGGTAGTTATAGGTCGCAGCTTTGGTGGAATCGACCATGATAGCCTGCTCAGTGATGCATCCAAAATTGACTGGAGTGGTCTGTACGACTTACCTTACCTCGACGACAAAGTTGAGTTGTTCACTTCTTCCATCACAAACCTCTATGATAAGCACGCCCCATTGAGACGTGTTAAACTTAAACATTTACCTGCTCCCTGGCTCTCTGATGAGATAAAAAGATTGATTCACAAAAAAAACAGAGCCATAGCTAAAATGAGAACTGCCAAATCTGATACGGAGCGCGAAAAATATAAAGCAGTTCGAAATCGTTGTAATACTCGCTGTCGTGATGCTCAAAGGCAACATATCCACGACTCAGTATCCAATGGCGACACCTCAAAAATCTGGAAGTTCCTCAAAAACCTGGGGATTGGCAGATCGGCACAGAATATTATTTCTTCAGCAATAGATATAAACAACCTTAACTCTCACTTCACCTGTTCTCCTGAATTCACCGAGCGTGAAGTGGAGGGTTGCATCCTGTCTATCTCGTCGGATGCTGTCGGATGGGATCAAGTTAGTCGTGCTATGATCTTACCTATCTTGCCAGCTATTCTTCAAGTTATTACTCATATTTTTAATTATTCAGTTACTAGTGGTAAATTCCCTACTTCTTGGAAGGATAGCCTAGTTATTCCTATTCCCAAACGGCCCGATCCAATTAACTTTTCTGACTTCCGGCCCATTACTATTCTACCATTCCTATCTAAAGCTCTAGAGCGCCTTATACACTCGCAGCTTAGCGGATTTCTGAATAAAAACTCAATTCTAGACCCTCTCCAATCGGGTTTTCGCCCGGGGCATAGCACGACTACTGCATTGGTTAAAGTTTGTGACGACATTCGCCGAGGGATGGATGGTGGGCAGCTCACTGTTCTCACTCTGCTTGACTTTAGCAATGCTTTCAATACTGTGAACTTTGAAGGTTTGTGGTTGTGGGTTGCTTCGCTCTATGAATATCTGTCCATCCGCTATTGACTGGTTTCATAGCTATCTTAATGGTCGTCGGCAGCGTATTAAAATGAATAATGCTTACTCTCAGTGGAATAATATATGTACTGTTCCGCAGGGTGGCGTTCTTTCACCTCTTCTTTTTTCTATCTTTATTAACACCCTGACTGCACATCTATCCGCTAATTATCACCTTTACGCTGATGACCTCCAAATCTACGTTCAGTCTACACTGGATGAGCTTCCTCTTGCAATACAGGCGATGAATGATGATCTTGAAAACATAGCCAACTGGAGTAAAGACTTTGGTCTTCAAATTAATCCTGCCAAGAGTCAAGTTATCATCATCGGAAGCCCTCTCTTTATTTCAAGAGTCAAATGGGCTCAGCTCCCTGGTGTTTACCTTGACGGTGTGGCCTTGGCCCTCAATAAGACTGTTAAAAATCTTGGGGTCTTCTTCGACCAAACGTTTTCCTGGGGTCATCACGTAAAGGAGATCAGCCGTAAACTTTACGCCGCTTCTTCTACTCTGAGACGTCTTTCTAATTTCCTTCCTATCCGCACTAAAACTATGTTAGCGCAGTCTCTTCTGCTTCCTATTCTCGATTATGCGGACTCATGCTCCTCTGATTTGAACGAAGAGCTACTTGACAAGATCGAACGCCTGCAGAATTTCTGCATACGTTTCATATTTGGTCTTAGAAAATATGACCATGTGTCTTAATTCCGCAGGCAGCTGGGGTGGCTACCTATTCGATTCAGACGTCACGCTCATCTTCTTTAACTTCTATACTCAATTCTTTTCAATCCGAAAACCCCTTCTTATCTCAAAAATCACTTCAAATTCTTAGGTCCTTCTAACTATATGTTACGCTCTTCTAATAGATGTTTATTGGAAATTCCATCCCACACTTCATCCTTCTTAGGCAATTCATTTACGATCTCCGCCATTAAGTTGTGGAATACGCTGCCTGACTCCGTACGATTGGCTACCTCTCTGTCATCTTTTAAAACTCTTCTGTATAATCATTTCTTAACCTTATCCTATCCTCATCAATCGTGACTTGTATAATTCTTATGATTCCTTTTACATCACTATTCGCTGTTCATGTATTTGTAAGATTAGTTTTTAAGTTTTTAGTTTGTTATTAATATTTTTTTTTTGTATTACTTTAGATTAAGGATTCTGCATTTCCCGCACGCATCATGTGTCTTTTTTTTTTAGTTTTTCTCTTAACTAGGGTTGCCTGGAAGAGATCGCTTATTAGCGATAAGGCCGCCCGTTGCATCCCTTATAATTTTTATGTATTGTGTTTCTTATATTATTAGCAACGAAGTGTAAATAAATAAATAAATAAAAATAAATAAATAAACCACTTTGAAAGTCATAATAAATCATCGCTCTTGAATTTTCTCGAGTCAATTCCATTTTCTCAACGACTAAACAAGACTGGCAAGTCAATACATTTATGAGAATATTTTGTATGTGCGGAAAAATATAGATATTTTTAAAAAGAATAGTAGCTTCCATAATTATAGTACTCGTAATAAAGACAAAATTAGCGCACCAACCAGAAGGCTGCATAAAACGAGTAATTCTTTCCAAGGCAATTGTATTCGTTTTTTCAATAAAATCCCTAGTGAGATACAAGAGTTGTCAATAAATAAATTTAAGTCGTACATTAAAGTAAAACTGCTTGCTAAGGCCTATTAAAATATAAATGAATATTTAAACGATCCTAGTGCTTGGATATAAGTTGCTCCAGTATAAATAGGTAACGCGACTGAATCTCTCGGCTGCATTTCCAGACTCCGGGGCGATCGTTAACATCCACGACTGTATTAATGTAAAGTGGGAACAAACCGTGATCCATGTGGTATCAAATTATTTCAGTATTATTATTATTTTCTTATGTAGCCAAGTCCACATTTCAAGGATCGTCATGCTCGCTTAAATGTCATTGCTTGTGGCGGCGTCCATGCGTCGGGTTGTCTCTCTCCCTAAATTATGGCGAGGGGGCCGATGGCTTATTATTATTAATTACTTAAGATGTCATGTGCAACATGGTGTAATGGTTGCAGCTCCTTACAAACGTTGTGTAAAAAAAAACATGGCGATTAAAAAGAGTGGCGGAGAGTTTATTGCCAGTTCTTCTCTTCCGTTCTACGCCCTTGATTTGTGAACTGGCAGTAAATGTAAAATTAGAAGCATTAATATGTATTTCTTTAATGACGAATCACAAGTGTACATTGTGTTACCTACGTGAATAAATGATTTTTTATTTTTGAATTTTTTTTTGACCTATTCGCCTCAAGCGTGGGGTCGGCAAAGAGAGCTATGACATCTGAGCTCCTCAGTGGAATGAATGATGAACCATAAGTTTTAATAAGTGTACAGATAAGTTATACTAAACTGTTTAGCGTTACTTAACCAATTTTTACTTAGTTTATTACTTTCTTTGATATATATTTATTTAGTTGAATAAAATCATTTTATTGTTACCAATACAGTTAATATTATTAGTACTTAACTATTTGTCAATATTTATTTAATGGCGAAAAAGAATATTGTATTTAGTAAGTAAGTTAGTAATAAGCTGTAAATCTTTCTCAATAAATAAAATAAAAATAAATTTTTAATACAAATATGTGTCGCACTAAAGTTATACAATAGCGCAAAACTGTTCTGAACTCTGGTTATTTTACTTTTACAATGTTTACTTCCACTTAAAAGTTACCTTTTGACGAAAGTTTAAGAACTGTGTGTTTTCAGTTACAGGAAAATTATATGAATACGTTTTCGATTACGTACATCGTAATGCAAATTAGTTTATTTTCCATTGTTTCGAATATTTGAAACTTTGTATTTGTATTTTTACAATGCAATTTTTGCATATATGCCTATACTCCTATAAAATATGATAAATGGCTTGTCGAACACAAAATCAAACCGATGCGATGGTTCCACAAATAAGCGATTAAGCAAAATATTGAATTATAACAATGAAGTATAAATACAATCTTAAAGAGTATAAACATAAGTGACTATCTCTTTACCCATAAAAACCAAATTAGTTATTTAAATTAGTTATTCATTAAACATTTCAAATTAAACTGAATTTTTAACGTTTTGTAATAAATATGTAGATAACACACATTTTTACAAAAATTTAGAAATCAGTCCATATTACTAGGATTATTTAAACGTTTTAGATAGTAATTATAGGTACTTTTTGTAAGGACTTTTATCGTCTTAATAAATTCTAATTGTTATAATCATTCTATGTATGTAACGTTTCGGGCATAGTACAAATGGAATTAATTATATTAGGTTGACTCGATGTTCCTGTTTTTGCCTATTTTAATTGTTTGCCTGCAACTATTACGGTGGGTGACAGGACATTGTATGTAAATAGTGTTTTCAGTACCATGACCTAATCGACTATATTACCCTCATAGGAATAGATTTTGGAGAAATTGTATGTTTTTTTTAATAATGCTTTAAAAATAACCCTCAATGTGATTATTAGTAGGATAGAAACTATTTCAATTTTAAAAATGCGAGGAAGAACGATGTATAGTAATGAAAAATAACTGCATTTCTGACTTTAAAAAAAAGAACAATAAAGGAACAATTTATTCAAGATGAAGAAATGCTTGTGTAATGTCATAGTCAATATTTGCTAAAACGAAATACCGTTTCTATAGTTTTTTCTATTTAATTATGTGTATATAACATGTTAATTATTTTTCTAGTGTTAGCATACAAGGTGTTTTAGAACAAATAAATGGTTTAAAACTTAGAATTTATTCTTACGCTAAGCTGTACGTAAATAAAGAAATAAATATGTAATGAAGAAACACTAAGTTAAATATAAAAACGGTCCTTGTAGTAGAGTACCCTTAATACTAAAATTTCCTTACTGTATGCCTATATTAACTGATAATTATACCATTTTTAGCGAGAAAAGGATAACATCCACCAGGGTCCAGGTACCGGATACCGACAGTGATCCCAATCTTAATAATACATTTTGGTTCCACATGTTCCCATCAGGGCGTCGGATATTATGGGAATATCGAACTTGCAACAAAAACGTCAAGATCGATATCTCTGTCGGTAAATGAAAGTTATAGAGCTCTGATCTGGGGTTATTGGAACTCTCTAACAGGCGCCAACTTAATATTTTTTTATATATGATAGCGGGTCAAACGAGCCTACGGTACGATCAAAAAGGGCAGTCATTAACACCAATTTTAGTAGGTGCGTTGCCGGCCTTTGAGGGAGGACTATGCTCTTTTTACCTCGATTAACGCCTTTGCCAGTTGCCACCCTACGGCCCGAGATTCCCTAGTTCAAAGGGAAAAAATAAATAACAAATGAATTAATAACATTTAGAGTAGCATCTCTTACGTGTCGTTTCAGGAATATTACAAATAGAATCCTAAATAAGTTGTGTATCACAAATTGTTAATTAGAAGCTAAAATCATGAAGATCGTAGTTTAAGATTTGTTGATATTTCTATTTTTAACATCATTTCAATTATGGAAAGAATCAAAAGTGAATTTTCTGTTTAAAATCGTCCGTTTGGCTATTGTATTCAAGTGTGTGACCTAAACTTCATTTTAAATTCGAAGTTCATTATCTTTTAGTAAACCGTTCCTAGTTGCTAATTCAAATTTATTCAGACAGATACAGTATTGAGGATAGCAAATGAAAGTTTTATATAAACGTCTAAAAATATAATACTTCAATAATTCCTCGAGTTGACGAAGAAGTTCATAGTTAAATTAAAATTATATTAATACATAACACTTATAATAAAAAAGCTTTCATGATTAAAGATATATACATGATTCTACGAACCACTCTTAGTTCTTACTAAGTAACGTTTCCTAGTAGAGCGTGAGAACAATGTATCAGCAGAACGGTCACGTAGGCCTGTAAGAATAGGATATAAATATAATAGAACGCTTGTAATATACAGTATTAAACGGACCTCAAATCGGACCGGTTGTACTCATTTTAACTTTAAGTTTTTAAAACCCCTTTTTCCGCGGACTCACTACTTGACTGGCGCTGAGGACAGGATAGTCGCTCTAGCTGCACGTACTTCTCAATTATCGGTTCGAGCATCAAATTCTGCTTACCTAAAAAGGGGAAACTACGTCGCGATTGCTAAAAACGGCTATTCAAAAGAACAAATAAATTTGTCAAGAACGAAAATCCTAAAGCGTTAAGGGTGTTTTGTGCGAGTGTTGAGGCAGCGATGTACTGGTAAGTCACCTTTTCACCTTTCAAATCCAGCCCTCTCCACTTTTCTTTTGTTATTTTGAGATCGGCATCTCTTATCTTAACGATAGTTTTAAGACTGTGTTAGAGTTAAATTCATATAAACGTAAATTGTAATAAGTAAATTAAAGAAACATAGAAGTAAGTAGGTTAGTGCATGAAATTCTGCAACCCCTAAAGTAAGTGTACCTAATTATAAGTTTAGATTCACATCAAATTCTGTGAACCATAGTTATTTTGTAATTGTGTAATTGTTTAAACAAACTTAAAATGACGGAAATTAAGATACTGCCACGTGAATTCTCATGTGTTATTCCGCTCTTTGATGGAGACGGAAAATTACTTAACACCTTTATCGACAAATGTGAATATGTTATTACCGTTTACAATAGCGTTAACAACCCGGAGCAGGAATTATACCTGTATCATT